AATCTATTCAGAATAACTTTTGTTAATGTGGTGTTTTTACATCAAAACGATTATTTCCTCTTGTCATTTTCCTCCGAAGGAGCTCTTTAGCAAACAAAAAGGCTATTTAGATGAGGAATTAGACTACAGAAAGCAGTCTTTGGACCATGCACATAAGGTAAGGACTGTACATGGCCAATAATCCATATGCTTTATTCTCAAGCACTGCGGAGGAGTTTTACTCTATTATGAGATGCAGTTCTGCCCTTCTGTGCCCCCTGGTGGTGAATGCATGTCATCTCTGGCCCACTCCCCTCTGTGTTTCTCTCAGCGCATCCTTGAGTTGGAGGCGATGCTGTTTGACGCTTTGCAGCAGGAGGAGACGGGTGGGAAGCTGTCCGAGCTGCTGAGCGAGCAGGACCGTGATTCGCTGAGAGAGGCTGTGGATCAGTGGAAGAGGCAGGTTTTGAGTGAATTACGAGAGAGAGATGCGCAGATACTCAGAGAGAGGATGGAACTGCTACAACATGCTCAAGCGGTATATACATCTATAAAACATGAGAAACAGAAGTGAAAGAGTTCATGCTTATTTCTATTGCAACGTATATGTATAATATTGGCCATTTGTTACTGTTGATTGATCTGTTTTTCTCATCCCATCAGAGGATAAAAGAGCTTGAAGAATGGATAGAGGCACAGAAACGACAGATCAAGGAACTAGAAGAAAAGGTAATCATATAGATCACTCATCTATCATTTTCTGTCAAGGTCAGTACAATCATCTCCAATAATAATATTTTGATCTCAGCCTAAATGTAATGTTTATTTTATTCTCTCCTCTTTGTTCCATTGTGTTGGTGTTTTTTTTGTCTTTTGTTTTTGTTCCCATGTTCAGTTTTTATTTTTATTTTTATTTTTTTCTTTAGCCTTCATTCTTTGGTCGTAGCTCTTCCAGAAAGCAGGAAACGGTGCCATGTGGCTCAGTGGACTCCGGTAGTACATGATAACTTCATACACACTAGATTATAAGAATAAATATTCTATTTCACTTTTCTCTTCGTCCACTTAAAAGAACATTGTGGCTGAAATTGCAAAAATATTCCACCAAATCATAATAAACTAGAATAAGAAGGTTTGCCAAGACAGACTTTGAATGTTGGTACTAAATGTTTACAACATTTTGAAGGCTGTACAGTAGTGATGGGAGGTTCGGATCATTTTATTGACTCTCTCGTTCGATCTCGTTCATCAAAATGAACGAATCTTTATTCAAGTCATTGCGTTCATTGAAATGTCTTTAAATGTTATACTTTTACCAGCCAAATTCCCCAAACACATCCACCTACGCAATCTTGATCATATTCCAAATTAAGAAATCTCCATAATGCAGCCAATGATAATTTACAGGGAACATAAATAATTACTTTACCTTCCGAGTCTTTTGTTCATTTGTCACGTGACAGACGCAATGAACGAATCGTTCATGAATGACCCATCACAATTATACAGTACAAGTCTCATGTAGTGTGAGGACAATATAAAAAGATTTGAAGACTGAATGTTAAAAGCTTTGTGTTATTTGTTATACACTACCGTTCAAAAGTTTTTGGGTCAGCACGATTTATTTATTTATTTTTTCAGAAATGAATACATTTATTCAGCAATGATGCATAAAATTATCAAAAGTGGCGGTAAAGACATTTATAAAGTTACAAAATATTTCTATTTCAAACAAATGCTGTTCTTTTGAACTTTCTATTCTTTAAAAAAATCATGAAAAAAATACATGTACAAAAAGAATCCTGAAAATAATGCAAAATATGAAGCAGCGCTTCCTGAAGGATCATGTGACACTGAAGACTGGAGTAATGATGCTGAAAATTCAGCTTTGCATCACAGAAATAAATTGCATTTTAAAATATATTATAGAAAACAGTTATTTAAAACTATAATAATATTTCACAATAATACTATTTTTACTGTATTTTTGATCAAATAAATGCAGCCTTGGTTAACATTAGAGACGGCTTTCAAAAATATATTAAAAAACAAATATCTTACAGATAGATAGATCCAGATGTCACCAGGTTTTAAGTGTAAATGTTGTTTTTGTTTAGCTCACAGGCCTCAAGTGTTCTTCTGTACCAGAGGAGGGTGACACACGTCATCAGGGGTCCCAGCGATCTCTTCTGCGCTGATACGAGACTTCAAACTGTTCACGTCAACTCTGGAACATGGACATGGAATATGGTACTCTCTATCTTGTGGACTAAAACTGTTTTTATCCTCCTGACCTTTTGAACTTTGCTTTGTGTGACCTCTGTGTGTGTGGAATTTAAGGACTCTTAAATTGAAACGCTCTCCTTTCCCTGCTGAGCAGGTGGTGCTGGAGGCTGCTTCCCTTTGGAAGCCTGATGGAATGAGAGGTGTTACGTTCAAATCCTTCCTCCCACTGTTTACACTCACTCTGCTTCGGTTCTGGTGGTACAGTGCGTCTGGTGTTTGCGTGGTGGCGCTCGCCCGCTCCTGTGCATTGAGAGAAATGGAACTGAAAGTTTAATCCTGGAATTAAAATTATGTTTTCTAATGTACAGGAGCAGTGTTTCAAATAAATTTCTCAGAGGAAGACTGGAAAACTAAGAGGATGTTTCTGCGTCTTTTACTGTTCATTGAAAAGAAAGCGGCACAGTGGATTCTGAGGTACAGAAGTTTTGATTCTGAACAGAAACTCAATGTAAGGTAAGCTTGATTTGTTCATGCTTTGAAAATGGTTCGCAATTAAACATTTAGTACATAATATTTATGATATTTTCAAAAACAGAGTAATTCAAAGTTATTTTTCTAGATTTCTTTCAAAATTAAGGGTTAGGAAATATGAATGAATAGAAATGCATAGGCTGTATATAGTAATACTTTAAAATAGTAATACTAATGAATAGCAATAATACAAATTTTTAAATAATAATAATAGTATAAAGATACTATATATGCTATATGTATATAGTATCCACCTGTTGCTTTGGTCTTCATCAACAGCCGCTTGCGCCACCTGCTGGTGAGTGACTGACAGCAGCTGGAGATCATGCATCGGCGCTCTAATGCTATTCCTGCAGCTCCCGGATGTGCAAAGGCGAATTTTCTGTCGAATTTTAACCACTGAATTTGTGGAAGCGAATTTGGAAAGTCAAATAAAATGGACCGAAATTTGAATTTGAATATTATACATCGTATTTTTAAACAGATTTAATATTTTGGAAGTGAATTCTGGAAGGTGAATATGAATCATTGAATTTTTAATTATGAAAATGTGTGTGAAATATTTTGAATTAAAATATTCACAGCTTAAATAAACAACTATGTTAAATTTCAGGACCTAAAAATGCAAGGCCTGAAAATACAAGGCATTAAAATGCAAGCACTGTTAATGCAATGCAT